TCCGGGTGGACTTATCAACAGCCAATGCGCGAAATCCAACGGCTTGGCACGCCTGGGACAAACGAGCCGTTCCTGCAAAGACCTCAAGAACCATCGGGGCAACCGCCTCAGGAAAAAGGCGCTGGACCGTGGGCACATCGGTGGAGGCTTGAGCATGCTCCCGGAGAGCATGCGGCGCATCAGGCTGAGGCGGCAACACCGAGTGGGCAGTGGATTGCGGGACAGTACTAGGATAACCCGGGGGACTAAACCCTAACGTGAGTGTGGGCTCGACAGGAGTCGCATCCTCGGTGCGAAAACTGGAATGTTCGGGACTAAACCCTAGGGGAGAGGCAGCCTCGTCATTCCCGCTTGCGCCCTCGACACGAGGGCGTTTCTGAGCAGGCTGGCAGGCTGGCAATGGAAAGTTCAGGCCGTCCAGGCGAGCAGCGGATTCAGGGTGAAGGGAGGCGCAATTTTTAACGCAGAACCCGACAAGGATGAGGCGCGTGCCGCTCCAATCGCAAGTGGCATGCAAGCATTGCGCGTCCAGTTCACAAGGACCCTGAGCTACATGAAGCAGGCTGCCAGTGCGCAGCTTTCCGTGCACGGAGAGCTCGTGATCACCGTGGCCCGCCACCCACACGGCACCACCCTCAAACTGCGACACTGGGAGCAGAAGGTTGGGACAACCGGGTTGGTTGTTCGTATCGACATGCGGGGGTGCTTTCAACTGACGAAACAACCCAGCAGAGGTGAAAGTCCGAGTAGGAAAATGTTGGCGCAAAACTGTGGCTAATAGCCGTGTTGTGGCAGGGTACTTGTAAGCATTGCTACGAAGACCTGCAAGATTTGAATAAACATAGGCACCGGTAGTGAAGGTCTTAGACTCGTCACCGGCTTCGGGAGTAGCGTTGTCAGGCGGCAACACTGAAATTAGTGACTCGAAGTCCTCAAAACTGATCTCACCATTCTGGAGGCATTGGCAAGATAGGTGTTCCGCATCACAAGATGGCTTGAACTCATGAAAGCTATTTGCAAAACACGGAAAACTGTATCTGGCAGCATGGTTGCGGACTCCCGAGGCGGAGTCAGTTTGAACTGGACGGGCAGATAGTCAGGCCTTGACGCTGACCCCCTTCCCGCCTCCTTTCCAGGAACGGGCACGGCACACCGTGTACGAGTGTCCCACTCGCCTGCAGTAGGCGCACGCGTGGACGCCATGAGCGCATTTAGGTGGTTGCCCACTGGTCTGTTCCTTGCAGCCACACTCCAAATTGAAATCCCAGCAGATCAGTGCTCCATCAGCCATTTTTTGGTGGAGGTCTTTCAATTCAGCTGGCATCGTTCGTCGCGCGGCGCTCCCACCGCCCCCCGGCTGAACGATTTTCACCTTAGCTGCAGCCTTGGCTTTGGCTTGGCGCAGTCGCCGCTTTGCCCCCTTGGAAAGCACAGGTGCATCATCTGCAGGCGCAGGGGGAGCAACGATTCGCCCAGGGTGCTTGAAAGGCACTGGCATCAACAGGCAGGTAACGCGAGGGTCATAGCAGAGTGCCTCGAGTTTCTCCCCCATTGGGCGGGTGCCAGCCGACGTTGCCTTGATAGTTTGTAACTCCGACGACATGACCATAAAGGAGGCCTCTTTGTCTGCTTGAACTAACTGTGCAATGCCGACTCCAGCCTGGAGGACAGTCACGCGTGAGGCTATGTAATAAGTGCTGGACCCAATGTTCATGTTGTTCCCAAGTCACAAGCCCCACTTGGTCGAATGCTAAACCACGGCGTTGCAAACACCACTGCAGCATGATAGCCGAACTGTAATCAGCTGCCAACTCGATAGGGTCTGAGCCGATCTTCAGCTGCTGGTCCTCAAGCTTGAATACCTTGGCGGTCTCCTTTGACGACACCTGAATCTCTGACTCACGAGAGGTGCACTTCCCGGGGCTGATCCAAGTAACAGTGTTCGTGTCACACATGTGGGAGCACAGATCGACTAATGCATAGCTGGGCACCATGTCACGTTCGATGACGAGGCCGCCCAGCCGTTGCTTTTGCGCTACAGCACGTGCCGCTTTCTCGGCGACCGGCAGCTTGCGCGGTGTCTCGGTGTCCCCCATGACGCTCTGGCGAAGGGCCGCCACAACGAATGCAGAAGACTCGAACATGAGCCTTTTCAGCATTCCCACATCCCCCAGTTTGGGGTTAGCCCCCAAGACCTTGGCCATGAATGTGTCAAACGCCGACTGGCTAGGAGGCTCCTTGGGGGTGCCACAAGCATATGCCAACTGCGCAAAGGTTTCCACACCCTCGGCCTTCAAGCTGGTATGGATGTCACTGGCACCCACCTCG